CCCATGTACCAGAGGATGCCACTCCTTCTGAATCCTAAGCTGCTCAGCCTAGAGTATCCAAGGAATAACATTGAATATGTGAGAGATATTGGAGAGGGAGCATTTGGAAGGGTATTTCAAGCAAGGTAAAGTTAACCCATGGAAAAAATATAATTTCTCCATTGAAATATGTCATCAGAAGCATGATGTGTATAGACCATGTATAATAGTTACTATCAAATTAGTTAATTCTTTACATCATTAACTTTATTTACATTGTGTGAAATACTTTGAATCTTAATAATTTCCCCTCCTTGCTGGAGTGTTTATTCCATAAATTTTATTGACTTTAAAGGAAGCCATTTTTAGGACATCTAAATATATCATCATTTATATAGTGCTTGAATGATGAGAAATTAGTAATAGTTCAATTATATTTCCTTTCAGACAAGACTTTGTCACATATTTTTATTTATTTATATATTTTACAGTTTTTTGGCTGGGGCTGGGTTTGAACCTGCCACCTCCAGCATATGGGGCCGGTGCCCTACTCCTTTAAGCCACAGGCACCGCCCCGTCACACATTTTTAAACATAATTTCTTACATTGTTTTAATGTGTACATATTAAACAATGCTCATGAAATGACAAAACAGAAAAGGAAAAAATAATGCAAAAATAGAGAAAATAATGCCTTTGCGTGAATTAGAATAAAATACTGTCTCTGTACAGATGCACCTCCACAGACACACAAGTAGGACAGAGAATGTGAACTTGGTTTTAACCACCTACTATGACTTTAACCTTGTGCTTGTGGGCAAAACACAATTTTACCTCTACTCATGGTGGCTCTGGTGAAGAGGTTATATAAAAAATGGAAATCCCACACAAATACTTATTAAAAACCAGAATTTGCAAGGTACCAATATAGGGTCTATGGGGGATAGGAAAATGAGTAATTCATGGTCCCTTTCTTCAAGGGATTTAGATTCTGGCCAAAGATTAGGGATTAGAATGGCAATGATAATCCCACTGGGTCTGTGCACACTACAGGCTGTCCCCAAAGTCACTATACATCAGGAAAATGGGATATTGTAGCTAAATATACCTTTATTTACAAAATATTCATTATGCACTTTTACACAATATTCTCGGTGTGTTGGCCACATCTTTGTAGAATTTTATAATAAATAGTCTTTAAATAAAGTACATTTACCTACAATTGCCCATTTTCCCAATGTGTGGTGATTGTGGAGACAGGCCATAGCATTCCTGTAATGTATAAATAATACATTTTTAAAACTTAATCTCTGTTGAAAATAGCCCCACTGGTGCTTACCAATTGGAGTGAAGGAGTTGTAGATATGACCTACCACTGTTGCCTTCCTTTGATTCTGTGGCTCTGGGAAAAGCTACATGAGTGAGGGGACAGATGTAGATGGATATAATGTTCTTGATCTTTTGCTTCTTTCTCCAAAAATGCATCTCTCAGGGCTCCAGGCTTACTTCCCTACGAACCTTTCACTATGGTGGCAGTAAAGATGCTGAAAGAAGAAGCTTCGGCAGATATGCAAGCAGACTTTCAGAGGGAGGCGGCCCTCATGGCAGAATTTGACAACCCCAACATTGTGAAACTCCTAGGTATGAAAATGCAAGGGAGGCAACTTGTTTTATCAGAAAACAAACAGAGGCTTTCCAAGTTGTCTTCCTTTACATTCCACTTACTGAGTTGTCTGTATTCCTTCTCAAGGTTAATCTCTGCAGCTAGGTCTATCCCAACCTTATAGGTCATTTGTGATTTAATGAGTTATTCCTCTTTAATGTTCTCATTTCAGTTTCTTTCTATCTTTGCTGCTTCTTACTATCCATTAAGATGTCCCCATAGAAAAGAATCTTCCATGGACACTGTTTCTCCATCACAGAATTTATCAGTGTTGCACGGTATATATATTTTGCTTGTTTGTTTTGTTTTTTCTCTTTCTTGCATAACCAGAATGTCACAAGGGCAGTCATTTGTATGTTTTTTTGTTCATTGTTGTATTCCCCATCTATTCACAGATTCACACATTCAACAGATGTTTAACAAATATTTAATTTGTACTAGTTACACAATGAACCCAACATTCAACAGATATTTAACAAATATTTAATTTGTACTAGTTACACAACAATGAACCCAACCATCAAGAATCTCTGCTGTCATGAAACTAATACTCTATTAGAAGAGACATATGATATAAATAGTATTCTGGATATTAAGTTCTAAGGTCTTTTTTAACAATCAAAGAAGAGAAGACGTTTTTGGAGTGTGAGCTAAATTTTTTTGAAGACTTTAGTAAAAATGTGACATGTGTATGAAGACCTGGCAAAGATTAGTAAGGGGCTAGCAATGTGATTATCTTGGTACGGGACATTCCGAGAAGAATGAGAAGCATTTGCACAGGTCTGCAGCAAGAGCATGTGTAGTATGCTCCAGGAAAAGCAGGAATTAGCAGGGAGATGAGTGTGGCTGAGCAGAGTGAAAGAGGGGAGAGTGGACAAAGAAGAGATCAGAGAGGTAATGGGGAGGTGGGCAGATCCTGCCATGTCTCAAAAAACTTCGGCCTTTACTCTGTGTAAAATGGGAAGCAAAAGGAAGTGGCATGGCATGTCAGGACTCACATTTTTTCAGAACTTCAGATGATGCTTTCTCGAGCATCATCTGACGGGAAACAATGAAAGCAGGGAGACAGTAAACTGGCCTTGCAATGATGCAGAAAGAGAAGATGGACCACTGGACCAAGTGGCAGCCGTGAGGATAATGAGACGTGATCAAGTTCTATGTGGAGTCGAAAGGCAGGTCTTCTGTTTCCAGATCTCTGTCTTAAGCATTTACCCAAACATGGTGAGCTGGAATCATTAGAAAGAGTTGAAAATTCATGGGGAAAGTTGAGTCCCTCCTATTGTACTGGTTTTGAGATGTATATTTAACATCAACCAATATAGTTAGTAGAGCTTGGGAGAGATACTGAAAAGATAGGTGCTCCTGCTTTTTGAATTTTGTATAATTGAAAACCTTTGACAATAATCTGTACTCAGCACCCAACTGAGGAATTTTCCTGTTGAAGAATCATTTGTATTGGTTCTTAAAGTGTTGATACTACGTTCATATATAAGTATTTACGATTTTATGACATTCTGAATTTCTGAGATGGATTCAAATATAAACTATGGATCATTTACAAATTAATGATTACTGTGGCATAAACAGTATACAGCATTTATACATTGCTACTCAGAGTTTTCTATCATTTTTATTGCCTCATAGGAACTCAGACTTATATTACCATTTGTGAAATGCTGTAGCTAAAGGCCATTTCAATATCCTGTGAACACAGGGCCTGTTTTCCATTTGAGTTCACATAGACAGCAGTCATTATAGACAGCATGTGATTCCGCCACTGTCATAGTTTCATGAACGTTAGTACCATCTAAATAAGATGACAACAGTGGAAAGAATGGGGATTGGGAAAATCCGTAAAATTCACTTCTAATAAAAGAAATCTGCTCTGTTTTACACATTTAAAGTACTAGACATTTACTGAACACGTTTGTATCTTATAAATTGATTCTCTTTCATTGAAATCCTAGCATATAATGTTGTTACAAATTGAAGGAAATGGATATGCATATAGAGGTACACAGAATTTTAGAACAGGAATAGGTTTTAGAGATCATAGACTCTCACCCAATATTCTGGCAGTTGAGGAAACAGTAAAACAATGAGGTGAGATGATCTGCTGAAGTGTCACACTACAGCTTAAAAATATGCCTTGGATTAGACATACTTATCCATCTACCCACCCATCTTTAGGTTTATCCATCCATCGAACACTAAATCCATCCATCCTTCCATGTTACCATTGATCCTTCCATCCATCAACATATATTGAAAACCCTCAGTGAGCCATATATAGTATTAGGCCCAAGATCACAGGGCTGAATAAAACACAGCACCTCCCTCAAGAATTTTACTCCACTTTGAAGTCCCAATTGAGAGTAGGTTAGAGTTATTAAAGTAGCTAAAACATTTCAAGCTATTATAAGCATATGTATTTGCATATATAATTGTAAAATTATATATTACATGTATATGTAATTGTTCAGAATCTCCATAAAGTAGAAATCTTCCATATACTATTTTCTGATCAAAGAGTGGAACATTTCATTAATTAATCTCAGGTCAGGAAAAAAAATATTTTTCTCAAAGGAATATGTTGGGTTTCTTTCCAATATGAGAAAGTCTTTTTAAGTCAACTCAAGCAGCACAGCAATGGTCAAGTTCATTGATGAGATAGGTGAGTCCCTATTAACTAAAGATGATCCACAGAAGATCCTATAAAATAAATTTTTAAGTATGACCCAGTTGGCATTTCTTTAATTTTTCCTTTAGTACGTATGAACACACTGGTTGCTAAAATCTCTGTAAGTAAAAACTAACACCAAAATAAATAAGCCAAGGTAATATATTCCTTTTTCTACTCTTTTTAGAATGGAGACATCTAATTTTTGTCTGAAAAAAATGATACATCTAATAATCTATTTTTACAGTGATGTGAAATTGTGCCCATCTCATCTACTATTCCAAGCGAGTTCTCCAGTTTCTCTCTCAACTATATGAAAATTTTAAGATTGGCAAATGCCCTCCTGGCATTAAATCTAACACTCTATTGATATTTATATTTTTTACTTGTGGAATGTACAGAGGAAATCTAAATATCAAAATGTTTTACTTCGAGAACCTAAGTACTTCATCTACTAACCTTGGACTGTTTTTGTTACTCTGGCCAAGCTTTATACAAGATCTTATTACTATTCTTCAGAGACGTAAACAGCAACACAGAGAAATGGCCTTACGTGCGCAGAGGAAGCATCCATTCTAAATTCCTTCTCCAGACATGGCCTGAGAGCTTGCTCTGCCAGACACGTAGTAGAGGTAGAGAAGTTAAAAAAAAAAAGTAAGATATAATCTCTCTTTTCAAGGGGCTCAAACGTTGAAAAGAAACCACAAATAAATGATGATCAAATAGGATAGTAAGTACTATGGTAAAGGATGGTGGAAGGAAAATCTGACACTGGGTGGGTCAGGAGCTGAGGCCCTGTAGGGAGAGTAATTTAATAGATCAGCAGAATCTTAAAAGGTCCAGGATCTGTTTAGTCAAAGACAGAGGGTCAGGGCTTGACTAGGGTGCTGTCAACAAAATCCCCAGGCCCCGTGTTTTCTGACCTGGCCGTCTGCTTTTGGACGGCTCTGTCCACGCGTCCATGGAGAAACCAGCGCTAACGGAGGGTGCTCTTCTGGTTCCAGGCGTGTGCGCAGTCGGGAAGCCCATGTGCCTGCTCTTCGAATACATGGCCTACGGGGACCTCAACGAGTTCCTGCGCAGCATGTCGCCTCACACCGCGTGCACCGTCAGCAACGGTGACTTGTCCCCGGGGGCCCCGGCGTGCAGCCCCGGGCCCCCGGCCCTGTCCTGCGCCGAGCAGCTGGGCATCGCCCGGCAGGTGGCCGCCGGCATGGCATACCTCTCGGAGCGCAAGTTCGTCCACCGGGACTTAGCCACCAGGAACTGCCTGGTGGGGGAGAACATGGTGGTAAAAATCGCGGACTTCGGCCTCTCCAGGAACATGTACTCGGCGGATTACTACAAAGCGAACGAAAACGACGCGATCCCCATCCGCTGGATGCCGCCCGAGTCCATCTTCTACAACCGCTACACCACCGAGTCGGACGTGTGGGCCTACGGCGTGGTGCTCTGGGAGATCTTCTCCTACGGCCTGCAGCCCTACTACGGCATGGCCCACGAGGAGGTCATCTACTACGTGCGCGACGGCCACATCCTCTCCTGCCCCGACAACTGCCCCCTGGAGCTGTACAACCTCATGCGTCTGTGCTGGAGCAGGCTGCCCGCCGACCGGCCCAGCTTCGCCAGCATCCACCGAATCCTGGACCGCATGTGCCAGAGGGCGGGGGGCGCCGTGAGCGTCTGACCCGGAAGATGCTCAAGACCGGCGCTGCAAGACCCGCGTGGGAAGGGGAAAGAGCAGCGAGGAATAGCCCGCGGCTTGCTTGTTTCCCAGCAAGAGCAAAGACATTGCGCAACGCAGCCCCTGAAAGCTGGTGACTGGCAACACAGGCCAGGAAATGTGTCAGATAGCTTTCCTCCGGGGAAAGCAGGCAACACGCAAAGCGCAGGAAGGATGCCGTCCTGTTCAGCTCCCCCATTCGCTGGCCACAGAGCCAGGGGCTGCGGGATGAGGGTTTAATGAGAAATGGGAATCAGAACCTCGATTTTTAACAGAATTAATTCCCTGTGCATCTATCTTCACCTAAGACATTTAGGTAAAGTACAGAAAACTAAAAGAAGGAGACAAACCATCATTCTCTCCCTACCCAAAGGTGGGTGTTAGTTTGGGGTTAAATTTCTTTCTTGCATTGAAGGCATAGAGTTTTATATTGGTTTGTATTCTACAGAGTTGTGGTTATACTTCACTGATAGAGGATTTCCAGTGAATAAAGTGACAAGCCAGAAGGCTGTACTCTTACTGTGGTTTTGAGTTTGCTTTTCTGTCTTCGTGCTTCTCCCTGACGAGTCGTTCCTTTCTGTGCACAGATCAGACGTTAAATCTGCTGGTTTACTCCTCCAATTTTTCTGGGAAAAAGTTTGCATATCTCATCAATTTACCTTTTGTTCTATAATAATTTTATTGGCTACTTTGCCTTCGCTGTAATCTTTACTTCTTCCTCTTTCTAACCCTTCTCTCTCTTTCAGTTATTTAGCCATTTATTCCCTTTTATTTCATACATTCAATACGCCCTGGAAAAAATAATGTTTTAACTAGCACTGTAGATTGATACGTCTATGCCTTTTGCAAAGTATTCTCATTTCCCCCTTATATTTGCCTTTGAAACCACACATTTCAAATGTATCATCTATGAATTTTATTACCATAGTTTAAATCTCTTAACCAAAGTTTTTCATATGGAATTTTACAAGATGATCTTGGGGGCTCCAAGTTATTTCAAATCTAACTTTTTTGCATTCTAGGCGTTTTTTCTTTTTAATTGACTTTGGAATTAATGTAGTGCTACTTAGCAACTTCCTGCATGATGGATTAACATGCCTGGTGATACTTGATGATTTTTTTGTAAAATCTCTGGAATTCCGATTCCTGGAGCTTCCTATTTCTCAGTGGAGCCCCACACACTGTATCTTTATCTAAGTCCAACAAGATGATCCGAGTTTCCACCTGATACAGCATCAACCCCAATTCTTCTGACAAATAAGAAAGAGAAAATAGCAGTCTATGTACTCCATGTCAGTTCACTTTTATTTAAACTAGTGGTTAGGGCATTCGAGAAATGGTCTAATTGTTTTAAATAGATCTTCATCTGTCAGCTGGAAACCTCTACCAAAAACCCCCCAATCTGCCTCATGCAACAACTTGGCATCTTTGGTGGGAAACCTGCCATTTCTGGTTGATTTTCTCTCTAGGCAACCAAGACAAAAAATGTGGAAATTACCCCAGACTGCTCCCTCCTTCATGCCCAAGGTTCTATCAGTTTTATTACCTAAAATCCTCTTGCTTGTGTCCTCTTCCCTTCAACCCATCGGCCAGTTACCCAAGCTCTATCACTGCCCACCTGTTTATTATCAGAATTTCCTCTCACTTCAGGCTTGAGAGGATCCCTCCCACAAGTAGAGTCAGGAGGCCCTCATTCACAGTTCTTATTCACAGATAGGGAAGTCAGAACCTAGCACTGAGACCTAGAGAGTCAAAGAGATAAACTCCTGATTCTAAGTCCAACATTGAGACGTCACCCAAACGGCTGGAGGAAGAATGAAGTTGCAGAAAATCCAAAACAGAAAAGTGAAGAAGCCGACAAAGCAAGTCGACAAAGAAGGAACCACCAGCAAATCTAGAACCTTAGCTAGATGTCCATGGCCTGTTCACACGGGTTACATATGCTTGTCACATACGCTCTGCAAAATTCGAAGAGGGCTTCAAGTTTTCTCAGTTGCTGACGTTTTATGGTAAAAGAAAAACATGGAAGTCAGGCCAACAGGAAATGTAGTAATGGCCGCACTAACTTTATAATTATCAGCTCATGTATGGAAAGCTTACCATGCAAATTCGAAGGCCTTTACATATGCAAACTAAGTGTAGTTTGGTACTGTCGTTATGCCTACTTTTTAGGCGAGTTGTAGATTGTGTAACTGGTCCATGTACACAAAGCAACAGAACCTTGTTTTTCACCCCCAAAAGGCCAAGTTCTCAACTACCACATTGTGGTGGAAACAGCCGAAC